TTTTTTTTTAAAATAGACCTCAGGAAATGCTAGCTCCCCACACTGTGCTGTTCCCACTGTGCCCTAAAGCCCAGCTCTACTCTGAAATCCTCTAATGACGTCACTGTGCCTCGCACTGGACCTGTTCACCTCTGGCACGGATTTCAACCCAATGTTACTCTCTACATTTTCCTTAGGCATAGAATCATCCCTAGAGCTTTGCCTATGAGAAGTAATAGGATATTTAATTTTTCAGCCATGAGAACACTTACGTATGCACAGAATATATTTTAAAGGTTGGGTAAAATGCATTAAAGTAACTTAATTTCTGAGTTACGCTTTTATCATACCTGGACATAAGATCATGAATTTTCATGTTGAATTATCAGTCAGCAATTTAGTTTATGCAGTAATCATTACCAGGTTTAGGTAATCAGCCATGTTTCGACAATTATTTGAATATATTACTGCTGTTATCAGTATTATTTTATAATATAAAATAGAATATTGAAAATGATATGAATAATGTCAAAATAAAATATAGACTTTTTAAACTAAATCAAGACAATGATCTTTTTTTTTTTAAAGTTTTTATTTTATTTCTGAGAGGGAGAGAGACAGACAGTGTAAGCAGGGGAGGGTCAGAGAGAGAGCGAGATACAGAATCTGAAACAGGCTGCAGGCTCTGAGTTAGCTGTCAGCCCAGAGCCCGGACGCAGGGCTCAACGCAGGGCTCGGACCCAGGAACCATGAGATCATGACCTGAGCTGAAGTCAGATGCTCAACCGGCTGGGCCACCCAGGTGCCCCCAAGGATCTTTTTCTTAAAGCAGCCAGCATAGAGTCTACTCAATGGCTTACCGTATTAGACCTAAGCCAGTCAACTTTGTGAATACCTGTGAGGGGTTGGACCAAAATCAAGGAAACATATTAATGAAGATCGTATTAAAAGTCTAGGCAAAATTAGAGATTTTTATGATAATTTTTAGCTGTGAATGAACTCTCCCTTCATGCTTAATAGAGAAGGCATATAACTGTTTTTGAGGAATACATTTCATTTGCATCGGTTAAGGGTACCTATGCAAATATCTTTGCAGGAGACATTCAACGTTAGGGTCAATTGTAAGCATATAAACCCCAAAAGTGTGTGGACTTGAAACCACACGAAGGGGAAAAGGAATATGGACGTGGATGATGCCATTAGCATTTAACTGTGGTTAAATTTAAGTGTCCTCATTGGGTCTCCTGGTTACCACGACATGACCCAACCTGAACCAAGGGAGACCCCTGCCCCAGTGACAGAAATACAGGTGGCTCGGAGAACCCGGAACTCCCCTGTCAGGAACCCAGAGAACACAGCCCTATGCGTCTCTGTCTCTGCTCTTGGCCCCATTCTGCATTTTTGATTCACCAGGCCTCCCAGTTTCTCCTACAGAAAACCTAAGAAGGCAACTCCCAGCCACTGACATCAGGTCACCTTAGTTTCCACAACAGTTCCAGTCTCTGAACAGAGAATGTTTGATTGGTTCATAGTGGCCCAATGACTTTTGGACCCATCAACCACCCTTGGAGGTCAAAAGTTTAGGTCCACAGAGGACACTATATATGAAGACACACTGATATATGCAAGCTTTAAACCAAGGATGAGGCTAGAGAACAGGATATTTGGGACCAGAGGGCATTCTAGAGTTTTATTGTCCATAAGGCTGCCATGAGCCACATACAGTTAACTGAGTTCTTGAAACAGCCAAGTAGGAACTGAGATGTGCTGTTTGTGTAAAATACATGGAGATTCCAAAGATGTCATATGAGAAACAAAAAAGAATGTAAAATCTCTCATAAATATTTTTACATCGATTTTGTGTTGAGCAAGAATATTTTGGGTGTTAGGTTAAATAAATTATGTTTTTTTAATATTTATTTTTGGGTTGGGGTGGTGCAGAGAGAAAGACTGAGGATCTGAAGAGCCTGATGTGGGGCTCAAACTCACAAACCATGAAATCATGACCTGAGCAGAAGTCAGATGGTTAACCGACTGAGCCACTCAGGCACCCCTAAATTATGTTAAAACTGATTTTACCGTTTCTTTTTTCCTTACTTAATTTGGCAATAGACAGAACTGTTCTAGAGGTTGTTAATTCACTCAGGCATAGATCCCTTCCATTACTGGTTATCTTCAATGTGTACTTTATGAGAGGCGGGCCCTGAAGGAATAAAAAATCTCTTGGGTTGTCATTTCTAACAGCAAGAAAGACGACAAAATATCTGGAAATAAAAGGTATATTATGAAATATGAAGATCTGTTTGCAGAAAATTTGAAACATTCTCCACAGGTACAAAATATTGGGGGGTGAGGGGGAATGTAAACACATAAGATGTTCTTGAAAATTCAACCTCTCCCCAAACTAGTTTGTAAATTTAACACCACCCCAATAAAATTACAATAGGATATTGAAGTATTTTTATGTGTAATGGAAGGGTGAGGAGATGGGGTGGAAGAAAGCATCTTAAAATGTATTTGGGAAAACAAACAAAAAAAAGAATAACCAGGAAATTCTGAAAAAGAAGAGCAACGAGAGGGAATGAGCTCTATCCGCTCTCAGCCATAGCATGTCAGTTTCTTAAACATTCCATTTTTATTTCAGCACCTACTATGCATTATGTATTCCCACCACTGAAGACAGTGCAGTGAACAGTACTTAACAGTACGCTCTCACTGAAGAAATGGCCAGAAAGATCAAAGGGGCAAAATAGAAAACGAAGGATTACTCCACTTGGCCACTTTCTTGGAATTTAGCCTATGATAAAGGTGGCATCTCAAATGGGGGTGAGGTGGGGAGGAGAAGGGAGGCAGAAATGGAAGAGTTGTACGCATTTATTAAACCTTGTAACAAACTACAGGGGTTTCAATTGTTTTTTTTTTTTTAAGGTGAAATTGACAACACAAAAATTACTGAAACCATGGGCAAACTTTCTTTGCATTTACGCGCGCGCATGCGCGCTGTGCTCTCCAAGGGGAGGTCTTCCTATACATGAAAACCAACATTAAACTACCCGTTCTGTTGGGAGGGGCGGTGCGGACGGGAGGGAACTCCGTGGTCACTACCGGTAACGGGGGGATTAATCTAAGTTGATCAGCGACTACATCGGTCGTTGCGGCAACGGGCCCAAAACTGAGGGGCCGGAAGCCCGGATTCCCGGAATTGTCTCCGGAAAACCTGGCTTCACCAGAATGCCAACACGACGCTGGACTTCCCTCTGCCCAGAAGAAACGCCATCAACGTGAAAGAAGCGCAGGTAACACCGTGAACATAAAGGCCTTCGTTAGAGACGTCACATCACACACGCATACGTTCCCAAGTTTACCCGTACGTGGCTCGCGTAGAAACCGCTGGGACTTCGCACCGCGCAAAAATGAGTTTCAAGCCTCTCCGCTGTTTAGATGTTGACGTCTACCTACAACGACGCTCGGTGGCCCGCTGCCGGGACAAGATGGCCGACGAAGGGCTGTTCTGACGCACTCCAGTCCATCACACCGTTGCGCTAAGTTACCCGACGCGACGGACGGAAGGGCGACGGTCCAGCGGCGCGGGTGGCAGGGCCGCCGCGGCCGCGCGGTGCTCGGGGCGCGGTGCTCGGCGGCGGCGCGCGGGCTGGCCCACGGGAGCGCGCGGCACGGGCGCCTGCCCCCCCTCCTCCCCGGCGGGGTGCTGTGGGCGCCCCCGGGACCTGCCAGCACACGGAGGTGTCCGAGCCCTCAGGGGCACGCTCGCCCGGCGCCGGAGGCGCAGCGCACCCCTGGAAACGGAACGCTCGCCGCGCGCACAGGAGGCCGGGCCCCCGCCGGGCCAGACACGCGACGCGAGGCGTGGGCCGGGGGCTGGGCCAACCCGCGAGCGGGGCGGGACTTTTGAACGACTTTCCAACCCAATCGGGGGAGTCCCCGGCGCCGAGGAGCTGGCGTCCCGGGTGTGTGGCTGTTGGCGCTGGCCGGGCGCGGGGCGGGGCTGGCGCGGGCGCGCGCCTCGGGACGGCGCTTCCGCTCGGCTGCCCCGGAGGCCGCACGGGACGGCGCCGCGCGGGGGCCGAGCCCGAGGGCCGCGCGGAACCCCCGCCGCCCTTTCCCGGCGGGCGAACACCAGCCGCCCACACCTGCAGCCTCAGGGTGAAGGGGGAGGAAGCCCAGGGCGGAGACCGTGCCCAGCTCTTTCTCGGAGATCAGTGGTGGCTCTGAAAAGAGCCTTTGTGGGTTTTGGAAGCAGGCGTCCAACAGCCTACTTCTTTTTGGGCGCAGCCTTCTTGGGCTTGGCGACCTTGGGCTTGGCGGCCTTGGGCTTCACGGCCTTGGCTGCGCTCTTGGCCTTCTTCGGCTTGGCGGCCTTCGCCTTCTTGGGGCTCTTGGCCACCTTCTTGGCTGCAGCCGCCGCCGCGGGCTTCTTGGCCTTCTTCGGGGTCTTCTTGGCGCTCTTCTTGGGGGTGCCGGCCCCCGCCGCCTTCTTGGGTTTCTTGGCCGCCCCCGCAGCCTTCTTGGGCTTGGCCGCGCCCGCCTTCTTGGCTTTGGGCTTGGCCTCCCCGGAGGCCGCCTTCTTGTTGAGCTTGAAGGAGCCCGAGGCGCCGGTGCCCTTGGTCTGCACCAGGGTGCCCTTGCTCACCAGGCTCTTGAGGCCCAGCTTGATGCGGCTGTTGTTCTTCTCCACGTCGTAGCCGGCGGCCGCCAGCGCCTTCTTGAGCGCGGCCAGGGACACGCCGCTGCGCTCCTTGGAGGCGGCCACGGCCTTGGTGATGAGCTCGGACACGGGCGGCCCGGACGCCTTGCGGCGCGCCCCCGCGGGCTTCTTGGCCGCCTTCTTCTTCACCGGGGCCTTCTCCGCGGGGGGCGCGGCGGCGGGAGCGGCGGGAGCGGTCTCCGACATGCTGCGGCTGCAGGACCGGGGACAAGTGGCAGAGCGCCGTGGGGGCGCCGGGCCCGGGCCGCCGTATATATAGAGCGCAGGCGCGCGCTGATTGGTGCTCCGCGCGCCCGCCTGGCTGGCAGGCTCCGAGCCGCCGCCGTGCGCTCAAGTTGTGTTTGTTCCACTCCACAAAAGGGGGAAAATGTTAAAATGCCCCGCACCAAATCTCCCGGCTTTGGTCGGAAAAGGATCCGAGAAGCCTCAGGCTCCGGGCTCTCCATTTATTTTTTCCGCAACCCCAAAGACGTCGCGTCCAGGCGCCCCCAACTCCCCCAACTCCTAGGGAAGTCCAGGACAGTCGGAGACCACTTTCTGTTTTTCTCTTAAATTACCTGTTCGCTCCTTAGCCCCTGAAAGTTCTTTTTCTCAGGGGTGGTTGGGCACATGGTTGTCTTCTTTGGGAGACAAAAACGAAATAGTTTCCACCTAAATTTTCACTATAATTCTCTTTCTTCGCGAGGGAAGTAACACAGGTCCTCTGTGAATTCTGCGCACAGATCCACAGGAACCGGGGCTGGGACCAGGATCCCGGGCCAGTCCAAAGCAGCCAGGGGTGGGCGAAAGGGGGTCCGTAAGCCTTGGGGGGTGTCCTGGATCGTGGGGGGTTAGAGACTTAAATCTTAGATTTGAAGACACTGAAATTCTGTATCAAATCCGTCTTTTCATAGATGGGGGCGGGGCACTCTTCACTTCTCCAAAGGCGAGAAATTGGGCAGTTTGTAAAAAAGATCTCAGGTTCCCCTCTGGGTTGTGCAAGGCAGGGGGTCAGACCCTCAAGAATAGGGATCATAAGGGAAGAAGGGAGACCCCCCCACCCCCCGAGCCTGCAAAGAATCCTCAATAGGCTTGGCAGCTATAGACGTTGAGATGATCTCTTTTCAAAGAAAACAAGCATTTATTTATTGTTATATGTTCCAATAAAGAGATGAATTTCAGCACGTGAAAATTCTAGATTACTTTCCGTAACAATATCTAACTCATGTTATGGTATACAAGGACTCTCTCTAACTGGGAATTCGATGACCTCAACGGAAGTAAAGCAGCTAACATTAATACCATACAGGTTTAAAACATGAGCTAGAGATCTAAAGGAGAACAAAATGGATGGCAAATTTTTAAATAGAAATAGAGGGAAAATCCTAGAACACGTAAATGATTATGCCATTTTTTTGTTGTTGATAAGATCACCCTTTCTCATCCCCTTTTAAGCCTGGTCATTCAGATTCTATTATAAAGTTTGTTTTGTCCTTAGAGACAAAGGAAGTCTTACAACTTACCTTACATTTCCATTCAAATATACAGCTACAGGAAAATGTGTATTCAAGATGCCAGTTTTAGACTGTGGTCCAAAAAGGTTGTACAAATTAAGTTCAGTGATGGGGGGGCGGGGGGAGACATCTTTTAGACTAAGGATGACTCCATATAAGTTTCACTGAATAACATTTGTTCAACATTTGGAAATTGTGTCTACTACTGATCATGTCCTCTGAGAATTACCAGCCTAATAAGATTAGTGATGGCTGAATTAGCAGCCGTAGAAAACCACTTTAGACCTGCCATCTCTCGCTGTGACTTTGGATATACGAATTGTAAGAAATTATTGAAAGTGTCTGAACAACTGAGGCAATTTTCCTAAGTTACTAATCATATTAATATATTTTGGTGTCAAAATAACAAAATAAACTAAGAGCATGCCACTTTGCTCTGATTCTATGTGCAGTGGCTTCCCCCCTCCCTACACCCACACAGCCATGTGAAATTCAGTTAAGTGTGATTTACCACCAGGAAAATAGCAATGTAGAATCTTTTTTTTTTTTAATATTTTTATTTATTTCTAGGAGAGAGAGAGACAGCGTGAGCAGGGGAGGGTCAGAGAGGGAGACACAGACTCCTAAATAGGCTCCAGGCTCTGAGCTGGCAGTCAACACAGAGCCCGACACGGGGCTCGAACCCACGAACCACGAGATCATGACCTAAGCGAAAGTCGGACGCTTAACCGACTAAGCCACCCAGGCGCCCCATCATCAATGTAGAATCTTGATGAGTAGGTCACTGGACCTCCCCTCACTATCAATTGGTTCCCTGATTTATACATCAGAAGCACGAAAATTTGATTACTGTGATTCAGTTGTCTAATATGATCACTCAGTTGAATCAATTAAAACACATTATCCTACATGCACATCTGATGTCCAGATCTCAAGTCATTAGGACACCAGCTACTCAGATTTGCTCCCAACTTCCTGGCCACAGGGTAGAGGCCAGAAGGCAGAGAAACAAGATTCTTGTTCTTCTCCAGATTCTTGTAATTCATGTTGACAAAAGCTATCCAAAACTGAAAAACAAGGCAAAAACGTTTCTTCAGGTCCTTCCAAGCTGTATTAGAAAGTTGTCTAAGTTCATTTGCCGGTCGTTCGATGCCCTAAGACAATGCTGCACAAGCCGATAGGATGTGGGTCACATATGTAATTTGAAGTTTCTTAGTAGTCACATTGACAAAAGTAAAAAGAAACAGGTGAATTTAATTTTAATAATATATCCTACTTCAATCAATGTATCCAAACTATTACCACCTCAACAGGTAATCAATATTTTTTAAAATATGATAGTTTATATTCCTTTTTTTTCCAAATCGCAAGTCTTCCAAATCTAGTATATTTTACGTTCTCAGAACATTTCATTTCAGACCAGCCACCTCACAGGTGCTCCCTGGCCCCAGAAGACCAAGAGCTACCATTCTGGACAGCACGGCTTTGGCGAGGGTAACTTTGACTTCATATTTACTCTTTGATTACGCCCATCGTATGTAAAATTAAACGTTCACATAAAGAGGATTGATACATTCATAAGGGTTTTGCCCAGTAGAGAGACACATGAACTCTTTTCAGTAGAAAAGCCAACCCTAAAAATGATGATTGTATTGCCTGATTGAACATTAAGCAATGTAGTACTCTTCAGCCTTCCAGCCTTTCTTCTCCTGACTAAAGGCGTCTTCATTCTCCCATTTCCTGCTTTGACCTGTTGCCGTCTGGCTTGCTCCTCCTTAATGACTTCTATCATTCTCTGACCCAGGCATGAGCTCGCTGTAAACAGTACTTGTATGAGACATGTGTTTTTAACTTCTTGAAAATCATACATTGACACTTGGTTAATTGGTTTGTTCCACTCACTCTAAAACAGAACCTTTAGAAACCATCCTAAAAATCCAGAGAGACAAACCTTTGTGACTGTCAACCTTAAAGTGACCTTAGATCTGGCAGGTGCGTCATGGGGTCTTGGGCTTTGAGATAAGAGTGAACAAGCCCGTGAGCAACCAAAAGCCTATTAAAATTCAGGTTCAGGGTGTGGTCTTCCCACTCAAAACTTATGGCCTCGAGGGAGCCAACAATAAACTGAGGACAGAAATAGTGCGATGCAATCCATTGCGTATTCTTGTATCTGCGCACAGTCTGAGTATGGTGGATTGGCTGCTTTCATTTCACGCGCTTCAGTCTGGAAAGCTGGTAGAACAGAGGTAATTATGCGGAGCCGAATGTCCATCCAGAAGGCTGCAGTGGGAGCTGGATGCAGCGTGTGGGGGAGAGGGACCTGGACAGCGACAAGTCCAGAAGGGCAGTGAGGGGCGGTTCCTGGAGCAGGCGCACGGCTCCTCCCTCTGCCAGGCCAGGGGATGGTTCTGTCTGCTTTTGAAGGTAGCTAACCTGATATTAATGAACCTTGTTAGAGCCCCCACCCGGGAGTGACTAAAACCTCCTCTTTCCTGACTCACACGGGATGAGGCTCTAATAATAGCAGCTGCCTTTACTGGCCTGTCTGCCCAGGAGTGTTAGTGCCTCGGTCCACCCTTGAGGTTGATAATATAGGGCAGCCTGAGAAAAAATATGCAGGAAAGAGCTTCGGGAGAGTGGAGCTTAAAGAAGGCTGTAGGCCCTCCAGTCCGTGTGCTTGCTTTAGCCCCACAAACCGTTCCTGTAAATAACCCAGTCTCAGCAGGCAAAGGGCCAACAGGGGAATCAGGTCCGAGCCAAAATGTTTCCCCCACCAGCCCACCGGGCACCTTAAGGGCTGAGACCACAGTGTCTGTGTTTATTCTCTGACACATCCTTCATATTGGGGGAAAACCAAGAACATAATCGTAAAGCACGTAGTAGGTGCTTAATAAATACATCGGGAATATCACAAATGGAACGATACATTCCCAAATGTATTTACCTGACATTCTGGAATTGCTCTTAGAACCACATAAGCGACACGGGAAACTAGGTCATTAATAGCCACCTTACTCCTTAGCGTGTTTTCAGGTGACTGTAAACTGTTTCAAAAGTCAAACCTACCCTCAAGAGGATTTCTCAATAGTGAGATTAGATACGTTTTTATCGCCTCCCAGTCTAGGCCTCGAAGAAAGGCAATTATAATGCCCAACATGCAGACATAGTTTGGGCAATAGCCTTAATCAGAATGAGGATATGGCCTTACTCAGTGACTCTTTCAGAGGAACCATGGACATACAAGTTTCGATAGATTTGTTAGGACGTGTTACTGCCTTTTTACTCCGGGCCTGTCACGATGCCATGCATGAGCTCATGCACACACACAGGGCACTTGTTAAGCAGGACACCGGAAGATATCAGAAAAGCAGAGACCAGCCCAGCAAAGTGTCTTCTCTCAGGGAACTGTAACTGGTGAGGTGTGAGAGACAAGCATAATTATCATGCTGTGTGATGAATCTGATAGGACAGACCCTAACCACTAAGAAAACAGAAGAATAAAAGAATTCAAATGTTAGTGTGCTGGTTACACCTTCGCCTTCAAGCCCTTACCAATCCTGCTGGGAAAATAAGACATTCGATTTCAGCCTCGAGCAGTGATTCTCAAACTTAGAATCCAGGACCCCTGTACAGTCTTAAAAATTAGTAGAGTGCCCCACAAATTTCATTAAAGAAGGTCACAAATATAGACATATTAACTACTTTAAAAATTAAAACAG